TTATTCCTTTTGCAATTGTAAAACTTTTTACTTATAATAACTCAATAAATTTGTTATTTAATATAAAGTTATTGAAGTTATTTAACTTCTATCAAATAGTATTATCACATTCTTACTTTTACACACTAAACATTACACATGAACCATTCATCTCTGGGAACGACCTACGTTATTTAAATAACAGAAACATTATTCTCAGTCTTAGGTATTCAATGGGCAAATCATTACTATAATCAACGATTAAATATAGCATTTGATGTTCAACATTCACTAGCCAGCAAGTTCCTCTGAGCAGAAATTATAATTTTATCCATCTGTGCGATCTGAATGATGATGCATTGCAAACTTGTGACACAGTATAATTGTGCGTGAATGATGTGTGGAAAATGAAAACATAATAATGAGCTAAAAAAAAGAGGGGGGGGGGAGTAACAGTGGAGCAGTAAGTTGAATGAAATGATGCTTACCCGATTGAAACGTTTCGCCTGAAATATATGACCATTCACTCGGTACAGCTTCCTCCATCTACGAGCGCCGCGTCTGTAGATGCTTCCTTTGGAAAATGAAAAAACATAAATATCACGAATGAATCAGAGAATTGATCTTCAATATTTGTCCTGATTTTGTTCTCTTTTTTAATTTCAGTTTCTCTTATTACTTCATCCGAAATACTAATTGGACAAAATAGGCATGTGTAGGCACGTGTCAACGATATTACATGCGCTATCGTAGAGATTCGAATGCTTTTAACGTTAGTTTCTCCTTAATTATGGCAATATAACACGAATTTCATTTAAAGTTATAGTACAATCTCGTTTATAAAGTTACAGTATAATTGCATTTAAAGTATATTCCCGTTGGAATACCGCATTGAAAGATTTGCAGTAAAACTGCGATTGGCTGAAGTCCCTCCATATTCCCCGATAGTCAAAACTATCCAACTATTGTACAATCTTATAAAGACAAAACAATCGTGTATAAAACTTGTAAACACGATAAGGTCATCTTGATATTTAAGCGCGCGATATTTGAAATTAGAAATATTGACAAACGCAGTAGAAACATATTAATCGTAATTAGAATCTTCTGTTCGGATTTTGTTAACATGTTAACATATTGAAGTCCAACGCTGCGTTGACCCAACATTTTATATTTTTATTTACATCATCAAATTCTGTTTTCTAATATTATGACTATGAATGGAAATTCCAATTCCTTTTAATATTTCGCTCGCTGTTTCATTTATTCATTTTTTCATTTATTTATAATATTACGATAAACTATGGCTTGGTCCTTAGTGAGTTAATATATATGTTACACCTGATCTTTGATCTGTACGATATTTAGCATCACATGATCCAAAGATTCAAAAGATCCAACACATATATAAAATTTCATTTTCGATAATTATCGAAATATAAAATTTTATATTAACACTCAGATACTTATACATTTTTAAACATTAATTTGGAATTCATTTTTCTATTGATTTTCTACATGAGTAACAAATTGACAAAAAGTTTTTACAGAATCGTAATTAATTTGACAAAACCAAAAAGTCTGTTAATCTTTATCGTATAAATAAAGAATCAGGTGTACATATAAATTCATGTAAGTGATGAAACTAAAAATAAGCGCGCTAAGATTATCCATGTTTTATGAAAACTAAAACAGATCTGCTTGATTTTAAATGTAGCAATATAACATTCGAAAAGAACAAGCATCGACGGAAGAACAGAACGATTCTCCTCAACGTTCTCCATTTTCTTTTATCAACGGTTGATATAGCCAGACTACTCATATTCCTTTACAACAAAATCTTAAACTTATTGTTAATTGAACAACTCGCTGGCTAGTATTATTGAAAAATCGTTGAATCGTGAAATACTGTATATTAATAGGTTAGGAATTTGTTTCTTTGGTGGTGAAAACTCACTATCTTCTCCCTGACAGGGCATCCCTGGCGCAGGCGGCACATTAGGAAAAACTGTAACAAAAATAAATAATTTTTCACTCTCATATCATGTACTGCGTTTTCATTCTGTTAATTAAAATAACACAGACTAAGTTTGAGATAGGAATATGAACATCAAAAAAGACAACTATATACTTCTTTAAATAAAAATTTTATTTGACCTTACTGTTCTTCTCGCGTATTCTTCAGCTCATAATGACCCTTGCAAAAAGAGATTAATGTTTTACAAATATTATGGAATTTATATGATTCGTGTTACTTATTATTTGTAGAAAAAGACACTTTTATGATTACGAGAATAAACATAAAATTGAAACAAATCTGAAGAGAACAGTATGGTTGAACTAGAAATTTTACCTTGAATCCTAGAATATTATATGAATATCCTAGAATATCCTAGAAATACACAATAAATATATAATAAATTGAACATGATTAACTTGTTATGTATAGTATAATATATAGAATCTCTAATTTATTGTAGTGCACTCAGAACGATCAAAAACCCAGCTGTAAGGCACGAAAAGAATATCTTATGAATATTCAGTCATGCAAAACAGGCATCACTATGATAATTAGTCCGGGGATCTACTCTTCTCAATAACTAATTCATTACTAGGTTTTTGTTTAAATTAATACGCTTTTGCTTTACGTACATTTACAACAGTTAACGTGACTTTCTTTGCCACTTTTGTTTGATCTACAAGAAGAAAGATTTCTACTTTAGTTTCGGAAAAAAATTTTCTTTTCTATGGAGGTAGTCCAAACGGCATAACACATTCAAAAATAAGAAAAACAGCAGTACATTAAAAATTGAATTTTCTAAAGATATAAATAATATGCTATAGAAACCTGAAATAATAAATAAAAATTAATTGTATTAATAGAGTAGAAGTAGTAATTATATTAGAGTTTGTAAACATGTAAATAACATGCTATTTATTATAGAAATCTTAAATAATAATTTAACGTTAATTACATTAATAGATAGAAGACATCTATCACGTCAGGAAATTTTGCTTCATGCTAAGAAATTTTATATTACAGGGATCAAATGCAATGCATTCATTTCAATGTTAGTACACGTATTGTCGAAGCAAGTAAACAAATTAGAAAAAATTAATAAAATTAAAAAGTCTTTGAGATAAAATATTTACTATAATAATATAATGAAATTAAAACACATTTGAATATCCAACACATTCAACTTTTAGCGATTCATATTCACAATTGCGAAATTTTTCATTATAGGTGAGACGTGAAATAAATCAAGTATATATCGAAATATAAACATGCTTGACTTGTTATTATGACAAATTGTATTTAGTATAAATGATAATTAAAAGTAAAGGAATAATATAAATCGTAACAATACAATATATGAAGTTCTCGATATAAAATTGATTAATTTAACCCGTTCATACTCAATATTTCATATATGCAATATTGGATTTTAAAAATTCTAAAGATTTTAAAAATTAAAAAAATTATAAATTTATTTTCGGTAAATTTTAGTGCATTATGTCTCCCTTACAATTGTTAATAATTGGCAGAAATGAATTATTCCTAAAATCTAAAGAAAAATTTTATCTTAGAAGGCTAAACATACATACATATGTATGTAATGATACAATTTGAGTTAACATAAAATAATTAAATATTTTGTATGAATATATAAAAAGAATTATTTTTATACAAGTTTTCTTGTACATAGGGGACATTACATAGTATATATACTTTTTATATAGTTGCAACAATGAAGAAGGTCAATAACATTATCTTAGTAAATGGTAATCGAAACTTCTGTAATGTACTTCTATAGAATTAATATTTTATTAGCTAATTGTATACACTATTTTTTTGTGGCAACATTTTGTCATTTATTTGTTTTGAAGTGGTTTCCTAATATTTCTTATCATAATGTTTGCAAATTGGAATATATTTAGTAAATAAAACCATTAAAAATTATTTTTCATTAATACACGCGGCCTAACATTTTTATTCATATTTAAACTGTCCAATTTTGAAAACCCTATGAACTTCTCAACCAATTCCAAATAATATAATAGAAAGTATATGTATGAAGATTACATAAAAATACGATATGCGTATACGATATGTATATTTTTATTGATTTTTTATTGTAATGACACTGTACGAAATATTTTAATATAAAATAGCTAAAAATGGAAAAGACCTGTTACGTCCAAATATACGAGAATTATACATTATGAAGTATATGTGTGTACGAACGAAGTTTTGTAGAAGCCAAAAGTACAACTGTTAAGCCATCGAATATTTTAATATTTTAGATCTAATATTTTTAATTATTGAAATGAAATAACAATTTTACTAATATGAGAGTGATATTAAGAACATAATAAATTTTAAAAATATTCTGCGATACGTGGAAAATGTAACTTATCGTATTCTTTGTCTGTAGTCTTCGTACAGAACAAATATTACGTATATTCAAAGTTAGCAACTGTCTAGTGACTTATGAAGGTAGCTACATATATACGCATGACTATATATATAGTCACAAAATTATAAAGCTGCTCTTCATAGCTAACGAACAGTCCACTTAAATAAAAGCATAAAAAATAACTTAAACCACGTTCAACACATTTTGATATATCATATATAACAATAAATGGAAATACTAACGTAGATCGTGCATAACGCATATCGTCGTCATAACGTTATATCTATATTTCTGTTTAGCTCCGTTTAAAACATGGACAAAGTAAAGATGCCGATATTAGGATAATATACGCAACGTGTTCCAACACTACTTCCAAATCGTGTAACAAAGATAACGATCTATATTAGATCTGGAAACTCGTCGCCTGCCACACAAAGTATATCTCCTACTGTTACTTTCATTCCAGAACCTGATCATAAAACGCGGCCCGATAACGGATAACATTAAATTCGATTGATGCGATCGTTGTTATCGCTTTTATCGCCGTAGACCTCGCTAGCGTAGTTGCAACCGTTGTTTTCAATGTCCGCCGTTTTGTCTCGAGCGCGTTAATCGATCGCTCGAAACTATCGAACTGTGAAGCTACTATTATAGGAATTAAAGGAAATCTTTATATGCTGTTCCAATTTTCACGGCGAAATAAAGGGTAATATAAAAGAAAGGTCAGTAATTGGTAATTTAAGAGCATATCGTAATGTAAGAGAAAATATCTAGTGACATATTGTCAAGTGTTTAGTGCGCATATATTGTGCGCATATTTAATTTGGCATGAAATATCCTCATAAATAATGATTATAAAATGTTTGGTGACAAAATTTAAATTTTTAATAAAGAACTAAATAGAACATCGTAACATCTTAATATTATTCAAGTCATTTAGCTGTCTTAGAAAGTAATTTGAAACTATTTAAACAATTTAAAAATTGTAAATTATTTGAGCGATTCAATTATTTCAACATTAGATCCAGATTCAATACTATATCTAGATTAGTTTGAAGTATTCTTACACGTACACCAAACGATGGCACAAAACGATAAAAAGATTAATCAATAAAATTAATAAACAATGACACAAACTAAATTCATTATCAATCAGTATATCATAAAATTTTTTAACAATTTATTTTTTACAAATCATATAAATGAAAACTAAAACAATAGCAATTAATTACAATACTTTTTATTCAAAACACTTTTATGAAATATTTGTATAAAATACTCATGAAATACCACATAGTTTGTAAATCAATAAAACAATTTTAATTTATTTAAAATACACGTCCTTTTACTTTTTTATAAAAGATTAAAATTTAATTACTTTGAACAACATACTTTTATTTTTTTTTCATAAATTGAAAAATCCGTATATTTCACCGTAGAGTATTCTTCTCAGTTACTTTTCTATCGACTCTTTAAGATATATAATACATATGTTCTATATGTTAAAAAAAAGAAAAACAATTTATTAGTACATATATATATATATATATATATATATATATATATATGTACTAATAAATTGTTTTTCTTTTTTTTAACATATAGAACATATGTATTATATATCTTAAAGAGTCGATAGAAAAGTAACTGAGAAGAATACTCTACGGTGAAATATACGGATTTTTCAATTTATGAAAAAAAAATAAAAGTATGTTGTTCAAAGTAATTAAATTTTAATCTTTTATAAAAAAGTAAAAGGACGTGTATTTTAAATAAATTAAAATTGTTTTATTGATTTACAAACTATGTGGTATTTCATGAGTATTTTATACAAATATTTCATAAAAGTGTTTTGAATAAAAAGTATTGTAATTAATTGCTATTGTTTTAGTTTTCATTTATATGATTTGTAAAAAATAAATTGTTAAAAAATTTTATGATATACTGATTGATAATGAATTTAGTTTGTGTCATTGTTTATTAATTTTATTGATTAATCTTTTTATCGTTTTGTGCCATCGTTTGGTGTACGTGTAAGAATACTTCAAACTAATCTAGATATAGTATTGAATCTGGATCTAATGTTGAAATAATTGAATCGCTCAAATAATTTACAATTTTTAAATTGTTTAAATAGATATATATATATATATATACTAATATATATATATATATATACTAATATATATATATATATATACTAATATATATATATCGAACAAACATTTATTTCCCAATTTGTGGAGTAAAGCTGCAAAAATTATTGAGATATTAATTGTAAATATTCAAAAAAAAGCTACAACCTGAAAAAGCTTTTTATTTCAATTTCATTGAATTTTAGTTAGAAAAATATAGAAAATCAAGCATCATTTTTATTCAGCTGAAGTATTCTAAATCTTCTCTATGAACAGAGAAGATTGAAAACAGATCTTTCAAATTTATGTTACAAAAGACAGCAACAAATAAAAGATAAAAAAGAAATTTTATATATCATATAAATTCAAAAGATAAAAATATTCTTTTTTTGAAAGTGAATACAATATTAAAATCATCTTCGTTTCCTTAAATGAGCTTCTTCATAGTTTTTCTCCTAATATAATACCCTTTAGCATCCTACAAAAATGTGTAACTTTCATATACATATGTACATATATTTTACATCTTTCTTGCCTTAGTCTTTTGAAAATAAAGGTAAGAAAATATTCTGAGTAGTCAATTGTAACTTGTAGTAGTGTACTAAAAGTACACTAATTTGAAAGAAAAAGATATTATATAGGCGATGTTTCATTTATCTCAGATTTTTAAATAGCTTACAATTATTTGTTTTTAGTAATAGAAAAAATTATGCCGAATCAAAGTTAGTTGGTTCAAAATTGTGATTCATGATTTTCTTCTCTTAAAATAATTTTATTCGAGTTTTGAAGGATAACAATACCTTTCTCAAGTGAGATTAGATGTATAAAAAGTTATTGAAGCATTTTAACTTCAAGATATTTTAATTTTAATTGTTAAATTCATGAAGTTAAAATTAAATGTAGAAAATATCGATTGATATTTGAAAATATCAAATCCCGCTTTTAAAAAATGCCGCTGTCCTTCAAAACTTGAAAAAAGAAATGACGTTGGAAGATGAAAATCATAAATCACAATATTGATCACTCTAAACCAACTAACTTTATCCTGATACAATTTTTCTACCAATAAAAGTAATTATTTATATATTTAGAAATCTAAGATAATTATAGTACCCTATATATATTATAGAAGAACTATGCTATTTTTTGATATATTAAAGATTTCTAGAATTTTGCGAAGTTGAATTCACTTGTTTTTAATGTAAAATGAAAAATTTCGGTACATTATGATATTAACTAAAAATATGAATAACGTTGATAAGATTTAATTTAACATATTCGCGATGACGTGATCCAGCATAAACAAAGAAAATTTATACAAAACCGTATACATGCTTATCTTCATAACGAATTTAAAAAGTTTCAGTCGCTTGGCAAGTAGTTTTCATCATATTCAAAAGTTTCTCAATAGAAAATTACAGAGCAAGCACATTGGATTGAATTATTAAGTTTCTTGTATCTTTAAGCATCGCAATCTTATTTTCAGCGATTCTGAAAAGTGTATTATGTATAGTATTTTGAAAAAATATATTAACAGTATCTATTTATATTATCTTTCGGAAATTGTTATCGAATATTTTCGTCTATGTATTTACTTATAAGGAGATTATGTTTGTACGTCCTGGGTTGCAACATTAGTGGAAAAAATTAACGTGTAAAAGATCATAATCTGAACCTCAATGTTCATAAACTGCTGTTTCATCTTTTGATAGCGAGAATTAAAAAATAAAAATTGACCAACAATAAAACCAAAAAGCAAATAAACCTAAAAAATATAATAATGAAAGTATCATGAGAAATATAGTGTAAGCCACTTAAGTGAAGATTCTGTACAGTGCATAAAATGTAATGTATGGATATATGAGAATTGCACCGCATGTAGAGCCGAAGATGATCTTCAATATTACCTTTAGTCTAGATGGAGAGCAATATCGTATAGTGTATAATACAGTTCTAGTCAACGCATGAACTAATATCGGAAAAAGAGATTTTGTTTTAGTTTATTTTTATTAATTTGGACACTACGTTTGAACTTTCGAGTTTTTGTTATTTTTTGTTCATTATGAATTGATTAATTAATAATCCACAAATTCCTTCTCATAAATTCTCTAGATTCTGAAGAATTAAAATAATTAACTGTAGAACTATTTTATACAAATTCTATCCAAGCAAAAACGAAATTAATAAACAATCGTTAAATTAAAAGGAACTTCTTACATATTAATAATCATAAGTATAACTTGTTTTCAAATATTCATATCTTAATAAAAATGTTTGGTTTCTCTTTAATAAATCGAGAATTCAATAAACTTGTATTCTCAAATAAAACTTACTTTCAATAAAATTCATAAATATTGATAAAACGTTAAAAATAATATTAATTAATTAATTTTCGAATGCGAAAGCACGTCATATGTTAAATATCTTAAACTGGAACAACAAACATAATACAATTTATTTGTATGCACAGAGACAGTGAAAAATGCAAGCTAGAATAGATAAAATAAGCGGATACGTAAGAGTCTCAAGTAAGAAAAAGACACTAGATTTCTCTCGATCGACATCGATCGGCTTCCTTCTGTACTCGACTCATTGCTCCATTCTTACCACTAAAAACCAGCTGCTCGCCTAAATCAATACCTATATATCGTGCAATCTGAAACTATCTATAAAACCAGGAAAAGAGAGAGAGAAAGAAAAAGAAAACTAAGAAAACAATAACTTCCAGTAAGTAATTAGAACAGAGTATTCTATTATCGTGCTTCGTAGCAACAAATAATCGGCCTTTTTAAAGATTGAATTGCCTTTAGCGCGGAGCCAGGTGAAAACCTACCCCAGGTGATGTCGTTGAACCAAAACTGCGAAGATCCGCTTGTATCATCGATCAAAGATGGCATAGTCGGTGCAGAATCCGGCTGAGGATTACACGGCCCGTGAACACGACATGTACTAGTCCCTATACCTCGATTAGCAGTCGCGTACATCATCTCTGTTGCAGTAACCTCATCGATATCAACCTCAGAAGTATCATCGATGCCTTTATCGCAGAGTAACTTAATCCTAGACGAGGAGGTTCCAGGCTGCGCGAATATATCGTCACGAGGACTGTTATGAGGCGAACATTCTGTTCTCAAACCGGCAATAGGCTGTTCGTATTCCGCTGAGTCGCTATTGGGCGACGGCGGGTAGGTGCTGGTGCTCGATTTGATTGGTCGATCTCGTGGCAGGACTTGGATAGCAGTGGACGAGGTGGAGGGTCCTCCTTCGACGCCAGGAATCCTTCGCCCAACAGCAGCTGCAGCCGCAGCCGCTGTAGCCGCGGAATAAGAATAGAAGGAACCACCCTGTATCATCATACTGCAGGGTGGTTCCTCCACTGCGACACCAGGCCCTGTAGGCACGCCAGAGGAAGAGCCAGCGAGCTCACCTTGCACTTGCTGCACACCGTACATTCCCTGTGAAATTCCCGTCTCAGCTTGGTGATACTGTTGTTGCTGGTGCTGATGCAATGTCTGATGCTGTTGTTTATCTTTCTCGCGACGTGGCGACCGACCCCGATCGCTAACCGACGTTGCGCTCCAATAGCCCCACGCCATTTTAATTTAGTAGTATTTATCTTGAAGTATTTTTGTTTCGTCTATCCTGGCTGTCTAATATCGTCCAGCAGTAATACACCACTGGCTCCCGTCTTTTACTCGCTACTACCCTCTAACTCCCACCCCAAATTTTCCCTACTTTCCTTCCTAGAGGTAGGTGCGCACGCTCTTTCTCTATCTCTGTCTCGTTTCAACTGGATATCTTTGCCCAGATTGTCTCTCTCCTTCTTGCTCCTCCGATGATCACTGTCCTCGTCTTTTACCCGTGGCCCGACCTCTTGCAGGAGAACCCGGCTGAGAATGCGACGAGTCAGCGCGATCGATGCTGGTTTATCGCCACTTTTGCTACCTCTTCGACAGCGATTGTTAAAGCTGTGATGTCACTAACTCTCGACATGAATTGACGACCATTGAAATCTTCCACCGCGAACTGAGAGGAGTGCTCTGTTATCGTTCCACGTTTCAGGCTAATCAACGTATAATACTATCTTTCTCTCTTTTGCCTCAATTCGAAGTTTTCGCTTTCTTTACTTCGTATTTTTAGTTCGTTTCGTGGTTTTGTTTTCTTTACGAGTCTTTTTGGGTAAATTATAATCTTCTAATGTCTAAATGCGTATGAATTGAGTGTTCAAACGTACTTGCGTGAGAAAACTTCCTAGTTAATCGGTCCGCGTAAGAATATCGACTGCTGTCGCGGGATTCGTTAACTACTGCCGCCGCCCGACGCGCTTTACTCCACGAAATGCGCAAACGCTGGAATAAAGGCATACTCTGGAAAACAGGACTGATTCCTCTTCAACAAACTACCCGACCCTCCCCCCCCCCATCTGTTTTCAACTCTTCCTCGTCCTCAATATTCTTCGCTTATTATGGTTCCTTCTTTTTCTGTAGTGCTCTCCTCGTCTTATTATTCTTTCACTGCGTTCACTTTTCACTCTTCCATTGCGTCTTCTGATTAGCACTTTTATCAATTTATTGCATCCTTCTAATAAGCGCTCTATTCTCTAGCGTTTTAACGGAAAATGGCTTTTTGTTGGTTTCTATTGGCATTTTGAATTATGTATTTTTTATATACTGGTTGTTCCAGCAACCGTGATACAATCGGCAAGGGGATGGTTCTATGTGAAAAAATAAATTGAAAATACAAGTACAGAATAACATTTTTTCATACGGTTCTTCGTTTTTGAGAAAATCGAAGTCGAAAATTTTTTTAATATATGTACGTAACTTGACTAGATACGAATAAACAATCAACAAGAGGTTATTCTGCATGCTAAAATAAGTCAAAAATATAGAATAAAATTTTGTCATTCATGGTCTTGTCTCCAAGAAAATAGAAATTGTACGTGTTTAGTTAGAAACTGACCTGGTACACGTGCATGTACCTAATCGATTTTCAAATTTCACATAACACACGCGCGCGAACGCATTTTCTTGAGTAGTAAGAATTTTGCGAAAAATGTGATTCTACATTTTCGCATGTAAAATAATCTTTTATTGGTTGTTACCGCCTATCCAAACCAGAATTAGCTAATTTTAAATATACTTAACAAATTTAAAAAATCGACTTCTTTGAAAACAAAGTGTCATATGAATAAATTTTATTCCATATTTACGACTTATTTTTTTATATTGAATCACTCCTTTACCGATTGTAATTGCTAGGATACCCTGTATACTTAGAAAACTTATTTGTGTAGATTAAACTTAGTATAAAAGCTGATTATTAAATGTAGCACTAATTATTAAATGCGGATAATTATGGACTTACAGTACGTAAGGAAATATGTGATGTTCTCTGTTAATTAATCATAAAGATGTAAAGAATTATTTTTAAATGTTTAAATGTTGTTACAGGAAATGCGAACGAAAACAATGGTTTAAATTCAATCCAGTTAATCAGTAAATTAAGCTCGATTCACCATTCGTGTTATTGCAACATACTACGTAAGTGTATGTAACCAGTTAGAAAACACTATGACTCTCAAACTAATAATGTTTCGTGAAATATATAAAATACTCAATTATACATATTAAATATTTATTCGGATTTTGTCATATAAATTACGCGATATATATATAATGTGAAAAATGTGACATATAATATAGTATATATATATATATATATATATATATA